CTTTGCACTGCTTATGTCTATGTTTTAAATCATCTGGACCCGTTTCCGCAGTTGTATTGGCATTTGCCAGGTCCGTCTACGATTTTACCAGTTTCCTGTTCGTCTGCCACTCGTATCAGTCATATATTTACAGAGGCTTTATCTTCGTGTTATAAAAAGAAATCCCTGTATATCTGACGCTTATATAACCTAAAGTAAAAACCTCCCAACATTATATATTAGACGTATTCGAGACTCGAAAGGGCATTCTATTACTCCTACTGGGGAGCTTGACGTCAGGATGATCGGTTTAGTAGTCTTCTGTCAACGTATTTTAGAGTTACAGGAATTTCCAGGGATATTTCGTTACCTTCATTTTTCCGTTAATATAATAGGCTTATTGGAATAATCACTCATACAATAATAATTTTTTATATAAAAGAATTATATGTTAGGTTCTTCGTTATTATTATTTTTTATCTGATGTTTATTTATTTTGTTATTAATTGGTTTCCTCCGTCAATGCGGTCACAATAATAATAATGTGGGTTATCTCGGCTGTCTGAAAATCTTGCTTTCCCGCTCGTTAATTGACAGTTTTGAAGTAGTTTATTCTATTCATTTTTTGACAACTTTATTAGTCACTCGTCTCCGAGTAAAGCTTAACCAACCATGCCGTATTGAGTTGCAACGTGAGAAAACCGCATTTTTCGTGTTTTTGTCGTGGAATTATCTCGCCGAACCGAGAGTACGAGAGTGGGACAATCAATCTAGACGCGATTTTTGTAACAGGAATTTGTCCCGTCACAAAAAATTAGTTTGTTAATTCCCCAACGGTAAGATTTGTATATGACCCATACGAAATTCTAATGAAATGGGGTAATTGTCCGCCGCGCTGAGGTATTAGGTTGTTTGTTATCTATACCGCAGTGGATATTTGTTGACTACCGGGGAATGGTTTAGGTTACAATAAAGCATATCTTAAGCGTGACTAAGCTTAAGGCTGTGTTTTGCGGTCATGACTGAGTGTACTCTATCGAAATACCATAGTATATAATTATATAGTAAAATCTAAAATAAAAATAAAAACTCAAATTTGGTTTGAATTCTTGTGGCAGAAATCACGAACGGAAACGGTATTTTCTTAATCGTAATCTTTTTTTAAAAAAGGTTTATTCACAAACGACATGGCTGGAAAAATTTTTTTTTTTATTTGCGTTTTTTGAAAATATCTCCTAGTTAAAGTAAGGAGTATTAGTCATTTTTATTTTATTTATATCTCTCCCCGTATGCCTGACAATGTTTCCAAAATAAATCCAGCTAATGAGTGTTTGTTATGTAAGTTTCATTCATGACGTAATTGCATTTGCTTTTCATTGTTTCGTAACAAATAAGATTTTTGCTTAGTTAAATATATTGGAAATATCAGTGGCATTTAAATAAATGAGTGAAAAAGAAATCAAATCTTTTTGACCCATCGCGTGTCAGTCCTGCCTGTATATTTGCCCTCCAGGCTGTTTGATTTTATCTAAATGAGAAGAGATTGCAGTTCTTATAGATTTTTCTGTTTACTCTGCTTATCTATAGATTTGGAGAGCATTATTTCGCAAGGCAAATTACGCTGTATACGTAAGCGAGTAACATTTATCCATTTGCAGTAAAATATATCTAGTGTTAAATCCACTCCGCCCTGAAACGCCGCCAAATTTTGCTTAAGATTCGATACAAGATGATATAACTTTGCCCATTCGATTCAAGCTATGGGCGGGTATTCATTTGTCATCAACCTTTTAGTGAAAAAGCTTGTTTTAATCAAATTTATGTTAGTTGCGCGCTTGCAGGTTATTTACTTACCAGTATTAATATGGTGTTTTAGTTATATCAGTCAGCAATTAGGTAATTTAGACCTACGATTACGGCTAGTTATCCAGTTCTCTATTCGTTTCAGAAATATACCACGTGATTTGTTTGACTGGAATCCCCGCGCTGATTGTTGAAGACGACAGCATGGATCGCGTCGATCTTTTGTTTAGATTTTTTCTTCGAGGGCGTGAGGCACACTTTTCTGTTTACAAAAGCCCTAAAAACAATACCGACAAGGCGACGACACACGGAGACGAGCTTATTACGGGATTACAACGCGTTATGGCCACTATTTGCTCTAGATGTGTCAGATCGTCGCATCGGTCTTTCAACAATGTTGTAAGTTACGTAGCCGTCTAGAAAGTGAGGGATATAGCATTTCATCGTTTCTCGCGTACATGTAAGCAGGTATTTGATGTTGCCATTTGGTCTTGAAAGTTATACAGCTTCTTCCTGCACCTAAGACGTCAAAAGTAACCATAGAAAGTAATTAGTAAGGTGTTATATTCATTATATCACCGTATATAATGACAAGGTGGCAAGTCTTCGTGATTTGTTTAGTGAGCTTTTTCAAATGTCGAGTGCCAATTGATCAAAATCTTTTTTATTGGTGTTGTTACTCATACGCATCAGAGAACGATTTCTATTATTATTATCTACTTATTGTTTTCCCAGTGCCGTAATTCTTTACTACTGTTAGTTTTTCAATGCTTTTTCAAAGTTTATTCCTAGCCTAGTTTAGTGACATTTCCAGGAATGTGCCCAAATTACCGCTTACCACTTTTCCTCTCATAATATTATAATATCCTCTCGTAAATATTTTTTCAGTAAATTAAAGGCAAAAATCATATATTCAACAGGTTTCAGGAAGCACTTTATTTTGTAAGACAACACAGCCAGCGAAGGAAGCGTTTTCGTTTTTTGTTTACGCAGATGACGAATTGTATCCGATATCAGAGGCTCTTTAAATAGCCAGAAAATAGTATATATTTATACCGAGCCTGGCGTGCCCACGGGAAAAAGCGCACCACAAATGCGCTTTACGTCTATGGTTTATGCTTAGATAGGATCAGAAAATTCAGCCCCCATCGATGTAGTGGTTTGTGAGTGAAAATTCAGTTATGATCACTTCAGACCTGGTGTTCGCCCACATTGTTTTTGCGACTTCAGGATATTGATTTTTAATAAACAATGTTTGTGCAGAAGAGAGGTGTACGCGCTTTATGATACTCTAATTCGTGATCTGTAGTCTGCCGTATGATTATATAAATTGTGCACGAATGATTTATTATGACTGCTTTTCCCAGTGAATTGATAAATTGCATTTTTTCCATCTGCTAAATGGCATAAATGATTGTATCAAATTGTTGACTTAAAAGTCAATCCTAGTTTCTGATATGATATTCCAGTTGACCTCGACCGAAATTTTCTATTTGAAGGAATGCGTATTCGAGATTTCTCACTTTTTTCTCTTTTTGAACCCGTACGTCACGTTATTGATCTCTCTACTGTGATTTTGACCTGTGCGTCAGCAAGGCTTGTTTCATTTTACTTACGCTAAACGTATGTACTATATTGCGTATTTCATTTACGATGTTCTGACAGAGTTTTGAGTTATGGCAGTAATATTACAACTCAGGACAAAAGACTGCGTAGTACGGTTTAATGCCGATTGGTTTAACTTTGTTTAGTTATCACTGGTGTGGATTTTCTCGATGTAAGTTGTGACAGCGCAGCTACCACAGGTTGGGTCAAGTTTCACATAGCTTAGGTTGACCCTCAACTCTCTTACGTATACCCACGGCACCCTGTCTGTCTCGTTAGTGAGGAAACCGACTAGGCTGATTGGTGAAAATGTAACTGTAGCACTTCTGATAGAAGTCATGGATGACCTGTGGTATGTCGACTTCCATTGTTACGATTTGTTATTCAGGGATGCTCTCACGACATAGGTATACTAATGTATATCCATCAAGTGTGATACAGGAACTAACTTATCTCTGAGCGACATTTTTATCTAAATACCAAACTTGTTTTAAACTTGATCAGGGTGTTTACACTCTTCAGGGGTGTCGCACCTGGCGATCTTTCCGCGATAAACCGGAAGTGCCCTTTTTCACGTAGTAACAAATGATTTGATAATTTTTGTCGCAAAAATCTCTCGCGTGAGGTTAAAAGCGGTCGCCATAAACAAAATGATGGCTACGCGAATAATAGCAGTAAATATGGGTCTGAGGCGATCATTTTATTTAATTAATGGGCTAGTAAAGAGGGAGAATTCGCATCCCATATCTTTTGAATACGGGATTGATATTACTTTATTATAAAAGTCATATGTCGAAAAAATTTTCATCGAGGTAACTTGAACCCGAAGGTGTATATAGCTTAGGAGACAATACTTGATAATATTAAATCTAATTAGACCATAGGATTAAGTTTTGATTAAATTCTATAATATTTCCTTCTATTAATTATCACATTTAAACCTCTTAATATTTTATGTACTGGGAAAAATTAATATAGTCAAGGGTAAGTTAGTATTCTGCGTTATTGTCGTCTTATAAGGAGTGCGAAGGGCCTTACTTATGCATAAGTAATGTTTATGATCGTGAACTTAATTTCGGGGAAGGCTCACTCGCTCATTAAATCCACCCAAACATGTTTATTAAAATAGTAATTTGTTTAATTATTAAGAAACGCCTAAATTGAAGTTAAATATTTCATTTGATAGCGTTAATTACAGCTTACTACATAGCAGAGACATCCGCGCCAAGCCAATAAGGCCTTGTTAATTTTGACATTTACCCTATTTCACAATCGTAAAATATACTGAAATTAGTTTAATTAAAACTAGAGGAGAAAAAGCACTGATATACTGAAATTGGGATCTTTTACGCTGCGCATTAGATGTACCGTTTTATCAGCAGTGGATTGAAAGTTGAGAGTGGATTAAAATTTGTAGCTCAGGTCAGTTTGGTGAGTTTGCCTGAGAAAGTGCCATAGTTTTTGAGCGTATCAGTGTTGGTATTATCAAAGTTGGGTATTTCGCAAATTACAAGCCATATAATTCTGGATCAAACCACCTTATTCTAGTGGTCTAGGAGCCTTGGCCTTTATGAATAAAGCTACTAATGATATCTATTTTTGCTATATTCCAGAATATCTATTTATAATATATAATAGTATTGAAAATAACAACAAAGCAAATAAAGACTGGCTGGTGTGCGGTTTTAGATAAAAACAAATTGACACGTCGATTGAAGCGAAAAGGGAGATTTTGACCAGAAAAATACGAACAAACCGTATTGGTTCAACAATGATGGACCAGCATGTGGTTCCCTCGTATGAGGAGACCATAACAGCTATCGGCGGAAAAGTAAGTTTTTTGTTGAAATTAAAAAGATAGTTTTCAATGTTCGAACGATATTTGTCAACAATATTATTTCTTTTATTGAAGGATGAAACTAATTTCTTCAGTGACGATTTTGGTTTGATCGGGAAAAATCATTATGGTCCCAGCGGGAATTTTTTCCCAGGCGGTGATGTCATCAGTGGCCAACCATGCATGACGCCTATGTTTCCATCCAAACATATTGGTAAGTTTATACAATGTATCAATTTGAATTTTTATTTTTTGTAATTGATGAAATCGCGTGAGAGAAATTCCTTAGGCTTCCGATTTTTTGTGGCGCGACGCGTACCTGCCATTTAAAATCTTTTAATTACTATACTAGGTAATTTGCTATTAGTTAAGCGTTTCTCCGCCCGGCACAGCCTGCAGGGCGGCGCCTAGGCCGTTTCGTGTAACCTCACAGGCGCCATAGTTTAACTAATAGGCCAAACGGTAGCCTAAATCGAACCAGATTACCAGGACGTAGATGGTTAATTAACGCAATTATAATTATATAGTTCGGTGCTTAATATATAATTTTTGTTCTTTATGTGCGACAGTGAACGCAACAGATTCAGATGCGTTTTATCCCCATGTTGGACAGGATCAATCTACATTTCCACAGGATCACGGACAGTCTATTTTAGACATCATGGGTGAAGGACGAAGACAATTGGATTTAGACGAGGAGTCGTCTTTTCACGTATCGCCTATGAAGCCAGCAGAGAGGGTAATTTTCAAATATAGTTATATATAGTATACGATCAATACATGAGCTATTTTCGACATCACCTCGCTTTTTAATTTGCTTAATGCCAATATATTTAAGAACATATTGCCAAGAAAGTATAAGGAGCAATTTATCAGGTCATTTGAGAGAATAATCAGTTGCGATATTGTCAGGCCCATACTTGGGACAATGATTGAATAGATTTTGTATTTATATTTGCTCAAACCGTTCAATTGAATCTTCGTTCTATTTTTATTCCATTATTTACTGTGTATATTTTGAACAGCACTCATGCCAGTCTATTTGTGTTTCCTTATTAATTGAATGGGGGAGTACCATAAAACATAAAATTAGACATCAAAAGCCACAGAATAGGCTATTAGCTATCTTATAATTTGTATCACTATATAAATTTTCAGTCAATATTCAAGTTTTTTTTATATTTATATTGACCAGGTACCATCAGGGGCAGGTTGTGGTCTATCACCTACACTTGATAAATTGGCGAACAAAATACAAAATGCTAATTTAGTCGAGGGAAGCCAACACAATACTATCACTGGGTAAGTGGCAAAACGTGAACGATTATTCTATTCGTGTAAAAGAAACTTGTAATTTGTCTGTAGAATGTAAAAAACAAAATCGAAAAAATAACTGCTAAGAATTTGTGTAAATGTTAGATTTATTTTCACTGTAATTACAAACTGTTTTTTTTTGTCGCTAGACACTGTTGGAAATATAATATCTGTATTGGCATTGGGTATGTGCAATATTTTTTCGCTTATACAATATAACTCAAAACGGCGCCTTGATCGAAACACGACCACGTAATTTTAAGTCATCTATTGTTAAATATGCCCATAATCAATACACCTCCATTGATATAATGAATGCAAATGAAGACATAAGCAAACCAGCAGTTATTCGTATATTACAGTAGTGCAAAGAAACATCGAAAGCCGAAGTTGATGCTTCGCATCCCATCAAGAGACGACGCAGCACAAGAGGTTCCAACAGGACAAGAATATGGGAACGTCACGCCTTTCAGCTCCAGCGGCGCGGACACTCCGATTGACGATCAAATGCCAAGTTTTGCCCCAGTACCTACATCCATTGCCAAACCCGTCGAAGAAGGTAGACACGATTATATTTTGTATGTCTGTACGCTTCAATATCAGCCAATAGAACTTGTATAAATTTGTTGAGATTTTGACAAATCCCCGGCATTATTTTAATAGTGTTTTGTTAATAATAATTGGCCTTGCCGTTTTTCCTTTTTGGTGTTCACATGGTGAAATTACCTCGATTATCCCATGTGACAGACAGTTTGTTTTAAAAAAAGGGAACACTGCCATTAACCATTGTTCTCTTGAAGTAACCTGTTATTAGATAGACATACTGAAATTAAGCGTATGGTGTAGGCTTTAGGCAAATCTCTCTTTAAATATTTTCATAGATTAATCATTATTATTATCCTTATTTTCACAGTTCCAAAAACTCCACTATTTCCACTGGTGACTCCAGGCACAGGCGCCAAAATTAATGATGCCATTAAAGATACATTTGAAAATTTTAAAACTATCATCAAGGCAAAGAATATGCCAAAAGGTATGTATTGAATTTTTGTGTATTTTGCAGTTTTATTTCATTTAAGGTATTCCAAATTTTAGTACTTACAGTTTTAACACTAATCATAATTTCATAGGAAACGTCAAAATTTACTGTAAGACAAAATGACTGTTACAAGAAACCATCAATTGAAATTCAACATAATTTTTTATTTTTTTTATCATTTCTTCTGTTTTTATTTTTATATAAATTTTCTTTAATAATGGACATTCTTCATTTTCATTTAGATCCAAGACAGTGGTCGTCCGAACACGTTATCGAGTGGACAAGGTGGATAACTGGTGAATTCAGCATCCCTTCTTTAAATGAAGAAAACTTTAGGATTCACGGTAGTTTACTATGTGGACTTCGTAAAGAAAGATTTCTGAAGCTTTGTCCACCGTTCGTTGGCGAAATTTTATTAGAACACCTGGAACAGCTTCAACGAGGTAATTTATTTTTAAAACCAGATTTATTTATTTTTTTATTCAACACAACCTTCCACTGACGATTTTTTTTTATTTTTCAGAATGCGACAAAGAAGCCAGACTTGATCGCGCGTCTGCCGACTTATCTGAAACGATATCAGCATCTCAGAATTTGGAGTCCGAACAACAGAAGACTTTAATCGATATTTCTCATCCACATTCCAAGAATATTACAAATAATAACAACGTCGGGGACAAAAATCTTCCCCCGCCGCCACCACCGCGACCTATTTCGGACGTTTACTCGTACAATAACCCGAGAACAACCACGGACTATTCACAAGGGCATCAGATGCCCTGTAATTTCTCTGTAAAACAAGAGCCGGGTTTGGACGGACCGATGCATCTCCCGAGGTTCACATCTTCACAGAGTTTTGACGAACCACGCATGGGAGAATACGGAAATCCACATCCTAACAATATCCATTCACAGAGCTCTTCCGTGTTCCGACGTAGTTGCTCACAGGACGAGAGCAACAGGCCACCCCCCTATTTGCCCCTTGTTAAGGAAGAACCTCGTACTGTCATGGGTGCACAGTTCCACTCCGCGCCACATCATCTTCAAAACCCGCCCCCAGTACAAAGGCAAATGTCCATGCCAGTGACCGGTGCCCCAACGGATCACACAGCTCACGGACCTCGTAGATCGTCTGAACCTGTGAACGACCGTTATCATTCTTTCCCGACACCGAGTCCAGTTGGCAACGGTCCCCAGTTCTCTCCGGATTTATACTATGTTAACTTGGCGTCGTATCATCATCACCAGCAAATGGAATCACTCAAAAGACAAGAGATGGCAAGAGGTTGGTTAAGACTCATTAATTACTATATTTTAAATTAATTCTTACTGCATAATAACGGAAATAATATGCCATAATGTAAATTCAACCATTACAAAGCCTAAAATTATTGTATTTTTTTTTTTCAGAAAAGCTACACCATAGCCTACACAACAATGCCATGAAACAGGAAAGGCGAATGATGGGTGATGAATGGGGCATGCACCCCAATCATTCTTACCCTGGAGTAGAAATGGAGGTAATTTTTCAATAATTTTTTTTTAACGATAAATCATCTGTTTCCACCTATTTACAAACTTTTCTCTTTTCAGAACCCTGCCTTCAGACACGGTATGTTTCCACATAGGACAGGGGAATTTCCAAGCAATCCAGTTATACCAGGAGCCTTCCTCACTGGTTATAACGGTAGGTCTCGAATGTTCATTTTGTGGTCAGACAATGGCATTTGCATTTTTCTATTCATTCTGGGAGACACCACAGACTTGTATGTGACATGTACATCCCCCAATCTTTAATAATAGAATATTATTCTATAAATACAATCTTTCTGAAGGAATGACGTCAAATAGTCCTTCCATGACAGATTAAACGCACCACTCGTCTTCAATATGAATTCCTTTGTACAATGTGATAACATTTTTGTGGGATAATGAAAATGAATTTATTTTTAACTCTGTAGGAAGCGGACCCATTCAACTGTGGCAATTTTTAATCGAACTGTTGACAGACAAATCTTGCCAACATTTCATAACATGGACTGGTGACGGATGGGAATTCAAAATGCTCGACCCAGACGAAGTAGCCAGGTAATTTGATTTCGATAATACTGAACGAGAGAATGCGAGAGAAATCTGATAATGATATATTCTGACGTTACAATGTTTTGTTCGTCTGCGATGATCGGAGATAAAATCCAAGCGATATCATTCGCCGCCAACCCTTTTATTTATTGTTTTTGCATAGAAACGATATCGTATCGGGCATGCACTAATGCAGCTTTTGTTTTTTACGCGTGTTCTGTGTCCTAGTTTTGATTTTTGTTTGGACCGAATTCGCATCGCGCCTTGTCCACGTTCCACTTTGGGAAGAAGTATTTCCTTTCTATGAACTCAGTTTCTCTTCAAGCGTTGCTATATCAGAATGAATATGATAACACCAATATGCGAGGCGAGACGAATTCCCGGCACTATAGGATGTTTACGATCGCGCAGTCTTTCCGTTTTATAGTCGAGATACTATCTTATATCACTAATTTTGGCAGTTTTAGTTGTTATGCTACGAGCGAGAGAAACGGCCGGAAGTTATTTGTTACGGGAGTTGAAAACAGTAATAATCGTTGCCCAAGTTCGATCTCATTTGTCTTTGTTGTGTTTTTAGGCCGTGGTAAAATTGAAGTTACTCAGTTCAGATTGGTGTAACGTTTATTTTGAGACTGTTGTGCTTCTTTTGTTATGTTTTTTTCTTTGCTTTTATCACTTTGAATATGGCGCTTAATAAGTCATTTAGTTCTAATCTACGTAAATACTAAATATCGCATACTTCATCCCTTTATTTTCATACTGTTTTCCTATTTCTATTTGTTCGAATTTTTGTTGCTTGGATATTTTAAATGACCTATTTTTTAATCTTTCTTACAGACGTTGGGGCAGAAGAAAAAACAAACCCAAAATGAATTATGAAAAATTATCAAGAGGATTGAGATATTATTACGATAAAAACATCATTCAAAAGACGGCTGGAAGGTAATATATAATTTTGAGAAAATATGGATTTATTGCACCATAAGAGAAAAGGCTATAGTATAGAAAATGCGTCATATTGCTTGACAGCATAACAGATTGCATAACGCTAACAAAATTATAAATCCAATAGTCATTGAATTTGAATACTATTATGGTTCACTGTACATTGCAAAACCTTGGAATATGAATACTGTATTGTATTTCATGGCAGGGTGAAAATACATATAAGTGTGAAATGGTTGTTAAATGTTCTCGATATCTTGTACGATACTTGTATAAGGTATTGGATTTGATACAAAAATGAGCGCTATAAATGTATAGTCTGTTTATTTCAAAATTATGTCCCCCAATATGATTCTCTTAAATGGTTTTCGATGAAGAGATATAAAAAGGTTATTTTATTTGTATGGCAGTTTAAAATCTCACGACACACAGTTTGTTTTTTCCTGTTTTTCCAGTTAGTTTATTATACGCTCGTGTTGGACTGACGCAATTCATGACGCTCGTTATCATATTACTAACGCATTTCCTTTCTTTTTCAGGCGTTACGTATACCGGTTTGTATGCGACCTGCAAAGTCTGCTCGGCTACTCACCGCAAGAACTTCACCGTATGCTAGATGTCAAACCAGAAGACAAAATGTCGGGCGATTAAAATGCAGTTTTTAAAACGAATTGAAAATGTGGCGAAGAAGACCCGTTTTCTTTTGATTTCGTTGTAAAGGAGAGTTTCAATACGGTGCTCTGTGAAGACCGAGCCGAAATGAAACGCTCGGATCGGAAATTTAAAAATTAAAGGTTCCATAAGGATTGCAGTACAGCGGGAGTCGTCGTCTATTCATACAAATTAAAATCATTCCGTTTATGGTTATTTCCATTCAGAACTCTTTTTGCACACTTCAATGTCATTCCATCCATAGAAAAGACCAGATACATATAATGCGTGCATGAAACTTGGCAAAGCTATTCGCCCACGACCAAAACAGTCGAATACTGCACGTGGGACATGACTTCCCGTTTGGCAATTACCTTTTAGGACTGGTGAATGAATTTTTTTTTTTTATTCATCCAATTTTGCGTGCCATGTCATACACTGTTGTGATATGTAAATTGGGAACTTGTAATTTCATTAATATAGTTATTGGATAGTACGACCGGAAAAGTTCCACATAAAATGTGTATTTTCTGCAAAATCAATTTGTTTGCCACAGTAATACACATTATTGGCTATTAATTTCTTCTTTCTTGCCAAGACTCTGCGTTCAAAATTATAGCCAATTTTTTCCTGACTCTTACAGCCAAAACATTTTGCTGAGAACCTCGGTTGCCAATCATATTTTGACGTAATCAATCATGTGACGGGATGTTTTATGTGTCATTGTAATGTGAATTATGAACCAAGATGATTATGATATGCATTATAAGTTTCGTTTTTCAATATTCCTTTTTAATCTTTTTATCGTTATTTTATTGTTTTGATATATTATCGCCTTTTTGCTGTATGCTGTACAATTGTACATAATTTCAGAGTGCTGCTTTCCATTTCTCGTTTTTTTTTATTATTTTCGTTTCCAATTTTTATTTGATTTTTAGACGTATTTGAAACGCACGATCTCGTTTTAGCTTTCACAATTGACTGTCACCAATACACATTTCATGCCCTACCAAAAACAACCACGCAAATATGGAATAAAGGAAATTTGATATGGAAAGTTTCGGGTCGCGCTGAGAGAATCATCCTGAATGAAATGAATGAAAATCAATTTATTGTATTCAGTTGAGAAAGGTCAAGGTACATTGTGAAACAGATCATGGGCTACTATACATTCAGATAGATAATCTCGTATATTATTAGTTTCTTCCCATATTTTCAATGTTTGAACGTCGTCGGATGGGTTTTGTAGGGACCGGAGGCGTTCAAACTGTGCTCTTTGGCAAAATATGATCGGCCCGTTCTGATCCTTTGGTGTTTTTGGAAGATTTCTCGTGTGGCTCAATAGCGCCACTCGTGTCGATGTTTGGTGATGATGTTCATATTTCGCTGCGTGCTCCGGATACGTAGCGTGTGGATGTGGACGTTTCCCGCACCCTGGACCCCAGAAAAATATTTTCATATATATTTTATGGGACCGTATTTAAAATGTTGGCGCTTATAAACTGGTTGATGTGTTCGAAACCATCATTTTTTTGGAACAAGAGAGCTGTGCTCAAATATATGGACACGTCACAAGGTGTCGCTGTTTTTTATTCTGACTCATAAAAACCAATTCTCTTGAAGTCCACAGAAATTTTTGAAGTAAGTTAAAGTGATAGCCCTCTGGCAAAAAAGATCAATCTTTAACCACTGAAAATTTCAAAGCAATTAGTCCAGTATTCGGAGAGAACAGCGATTTTATGATGACGAGGCGAACAACAACATATTATTAAAACGATCCATAGGCCCACCCGCGTGTCCAATTACTTGACCACGCGCTGCTTACTGACGGCCTTCTTTGAGGCTAATCTGTCGTAGCGTTTGCGAGATCAATTTTTGAACAATTAGGTTATGCGGAAATTGCAATTGTTATAATTGTAGGTCATTGTTGACCTATTGCTGATTGCTCGTAACTACGGAAAAGAACAAGGAAATCGACGTTCAGAAAACATCCATTTGTGATATCGAAGGTAATATCAAGGTTGAGCTTCCGATTTTTAAAATCAAACTACCTATCCCTTTGAAAGACCCCGAATGAATTCTAGAGTATTGGGATGTGGCCATTGTCGTTGAGCTTTTCAGTTTGCTAAAGCAGTATTTTTTTTTTTAACTTAGAGCCCTAAACATAAGTCTACTTAATTAAACTTGTTACATTTCCAATGGCGCAAATGAAATCGATTTTTCTCCACATCAATCGGAAGTTAAACCGCGTATGGCTCATTTGGCAAGGCAGCCACTTGCGAAACATGTCGATTACATTTACGATGGGGCTCATTAGACCAATTATTTTGTTTATACAGTTTCAGTCTGGGCTTTCAAGTGCAAATTTGGGCTTTGATGTTGAATGGTTAGTGCGGCTTATCTTAAATTCTACCACTGAGAACATAATAAAGTTTTGAATAGCCAATACTAAAATGAAGTGGCGGCAAAGTCCACCACTTCGACGACGTTTAAATTAGGGCAAATAACGAATTGTTATTTATTATTTTTTTACCATATGGTGTATGGTAGACGTTTTAAATTTGACTTTAATTTAAAATAGGCTTTGTTAAGGATTGAGATAAAACTTGCATAAAAAGATATGGCTCATACTTAAATGATCGAAAATAGACTAAGATACAATGAGGCGATGCTAACAACACCCTGCAAAAAGGGCATAATTTCATATCTTGAGTTAAATACATTCCCCCACTCCAAGTAAAACTCCGAATTCTCCGAGTACTGTATTTGAACACTTATTAAGATGAGAGCGTGTTCAGACTAAGTCAATTACACTGACAATGGGACTCGTGTGTATTAGACCGATTTTTCTGTTTATACAGCCCTTAGTTTGAACGCAAGTACAAACCAAGACTTTGATAAATTTGAGTTTGATGTTGTTGTTTTTTAATTTTATTTGTGTGAGATATTATTGAATTATAATTTGGAACAGGGGTGAGCAATCTACGGCCCGCAACGTGCCAATTTTGAATGATGTGCGGCCCGGTCTGATATGTGCGAGTAGCATAATTCCAAACCCTTTGCGAATTCCAAAGACTATACCCGAGTTCAATTTATTATCACCTTATAATGCCTTAACGGCAAGCTTGTGCGAAGCGAACAACGCTTGTCATATCAATAACCAACATTTCTGTGCCTGCAGCAGCTAGAAAGCCTCTCTTAAATGAAGATGCGGCCCGCGATTTCACCCAGTTTCACTGTATCTGGCCCACTTGTATTGAAGGTTGTACACCCCTGTCGCCGACATCGTCAATCGACATACCGTAATACTAGACCATATGTTCTCAAAGTGCTCCGTACGGAGCCCCAGGGCTCCGTGAGAGAAACCTAGGGGGTCCGCGAGCTATTCGAATACTTATCAAAATAATAACTTGGCTAATTTTGCAACTGTCCAAAGAAGCAATAACATCATTGAGGAATATCATCATAATATTTGTCAATAGTAGCGTCGAAATATGGCAACTAGGCGGTAATTCAAATAGGACATTATCTATAAGCAGGAGCACAGTCAGGATTTTGAAAGAGGAGGGGAGGGTTCAAAATTAGAATCGGAAATTCCTTTGCAGCATTCTTCGCAATTGGGTCATTCGTTAACAGAAAAAACAATTTTTCAGTGGATGAGTTTTATGTTGCGTAAAATATTCAATCCATGGCCGACGCGAGCATTTGGAATGTCTTGTCCTAATAATCGTTACTTGCCTTTGAGTCGAAATTACCATTACGATTACTAAAATAAAAGATTAGTATTCTTGGGATTTGTTAAATTTCAGTTGGTTTTTCAGCACTCAAGAATATTTTTGAGCAAGAAATCGCCCTTGCGAAAATCCCAATGTCGGCGTAAAATCTCAATAAGAACAATTTACAATTACGCAATCCATGACCGATGTTCTATGTGATTTTATTACAATAAAAATTGATTGATATACTTTACAGTAAGTATCTTATATGTCGTCACACACCGAGGTTTTATTTTTAATATTTCATGATGCCGCTTGTTATTCAAGAAATTTGGGTTGCGGATTCACCTCTTTAATAATTATTTTTAGGATCTCGTCGCCGATGATTATAATATACTAACCAGTTTATCACACTGAACTCTCGATTTCTTACGACAGTAAAAAAAATAATTATCGTTGTCCTCGTGGAACAATACATGCATAACAAAAGGCAATCGCGCACGTTATTAGCGACTTTTTCCGTCATCCAAAAACATTAATTTATTTCAATTTATTAGTATGTTTGTCAAGTGTCAAATTTACAGCCGTAGTATATATATAATTCATCTGTGAAATATTATTTATTCATTTATTATTAACTTCATTTTTATTTATGTCTTGTATTAACCTAATTAAAAAAAAGGTTTGGCATTTAAAAGTAATTTTGTTTTACTCAGGACCATTAATCGGTAGGTAATAATGTGTTTTTGTTTGGTGTGGCTCCGTGAATAATAGTCAACCTCTTCGCGGGCTCCGTAACACCAAAGGTTTGAGAACCCCTGTACTAGACAATCATCCATTAAATCAAACAGAGAGTTGTTGCTGATTTTTGCTTGATGTTGATAAAAATCAGCATTTTAGTTAAAAATCATATATATTTGCAGATATCTCTCGCTGAAACCGTACACGACTGCACCAGAAAGCGTCAATGTGTTGGTGTTAACATTATCTAATCTAAACGATAAAGCACCATTCTCCTAATTCCTCGTCATTAAGTCGTAACAGACTACTGTCAAATAATGAGTAGTTCAATTTAAATGGCATTTTTGGAGACTATAGTGTATTTCAATAAAACTAACAAAATTAGCTCAGCCGCATCAACCGTAAATTAAAATTGACGAATACTGTAAAGTTTGCACAGCACATGTCGATAACATTGACAATGGTACTTGTAAATAGGCCATGGCCAATATTTCTATTTATACAGACTACATCTGGCGGTTCAAGTGCAAAACAACGCTTTGAAGTTGCTAGAGTACGATTACGCATATTTGAATTAACATCCGAAATGTAAATCGGAAGAATCACGTGACATAAAGGGAAAGATTGATGATAACGGCATTTGCCAGTGTTGTGGAGAAGTTGTGGAGTCGAAGTCGTGTTTTCAAACTCCGGGGGCTCGAAATTCAGAAAACTATAGAGTCGGAAGTGCAAACCCTCAATCCTGATAAAACACTTCATACTGAAAACAAACGTTGAATTTTTTGGCCAAGCATTTTTAACATCATATTAAATAAGGCTTGCATACACGAAAATTTTGTTATTAAAATTCGATTTTCTCGGAGTACGAAGCTGAAATCGAAAAAGTCAAAAATCCTAAACATTTTTTTTTGTTCAGTTAGGAATTTGATTGTAGATTTTCTAGGACTCCATATATGACATGAGTGATTAGAGTCTAGTCACTAGACAATCAGCACAGTGTTAGTAAGAATAGTAAGTAGTACGATAGACAGTGTGAATACCAAAAGGATATTCATTATTTCCAATGATACCAAAAGCATATACACAAAACTTCCAATTAGTCGATACTCGATACTAAAAAGTACCGGTAAAAATATCAAAACACAACGAAAATCAAAAAACGAATATATAAAATGAATTGACAAGACATTGCGACTCTACAGATATTAATATATTCTATGAATTTTCAATATATTAATAACACACGTGTCGAATGGAATTGAAGAAATCGATCCAGTGCTTTCTTATCTAGTATCTTTGAATCTTTAGTTTAGTACTTGTCTTGAATCCCGTATGTCCACTCATCAACCCTATTATTATATCCTTTTCACGATATAAACCATTTATCTTGATTTTCGTCAAATCAACATCTACGTGGAATCGTGAAAGCGATTAGATGGAATGTATCATGAGGGTATTGATTCTGAATAAACTCATACTTTGTGATGAAGTATTCTACATAATTCAACGCTGTCAGGGTATTTTGGAACCTGGATAGATCGATTTGAGGTGACCCCAATTTCGTTCCTATTAGGATACATAATTTGAAAACTGCTGCTCAAGCTGCAAAAACGCGAAATGAACTCATCCTGTTATTCCAAATGATTGTCTTGTTCTTCTAGATGCACTCGTATATGCCTTTTCAGATAGGATTCGAGTAGAAATTTTTTATCACAGATTTCACACCAGAATTTTTTTCAGAGTGAATTTTTATGTGCAAATTCATGCTTTCCTTTTTGCAACGTTTTATTCCACAATGTTCACAAGTGTATGGCTTTCCAGGATCATTTACAAGCTTGTGTTCCTCATACTCGGACTTTTCTTTAAATTGTTTACCGCACAACTCACAGGAAAACGGTCTTTTAGCGTGTCTTCGCATATGTCTGTGTAAGTTTGAAGCGTATTTCATGGTCTTCCCACAGACTTTGCACTTAAACGGTTTCTCAGAACTATGAACGCCTATCACGTGTACGGCAAGGTCGTCTTTGCTTAGAAACGATTTTTCACACAATTTGCAATGGAAAGGTTTGTCATCCTCGTGCGTTTTCATGTGCCTTGAGAGGTTTGAATTAAAAAGGGTCTTAAAAGAACAGATTCCGCAAGAGTACATTTGGTCTCTCGTATGCGTTCGCATATGGCATGTCAGGTCATGTGCACGCTTGTACGACTTGTGACATATTCTGCACGTATGTGGTGTTGTATCACTATGAACCGTCATGTGTGATTTCAAGTATTCCTTTTGTTTAAAATGACGATCACAGATTTTACATTTGTAAGTATTGTTTTCTTCGTGAGTTCTCATGTGCTTTCTCAAATTCCCCAAAATACGAGTCGTTTTGCCACATATTTCACACTTGAATGGTTTTTCACCAGTGTGAATTAATAAGTGGTCTTTTAATGAAAAAGACGTGGTGAAAATTTTATCACATATTTCACATTTACATGGACGACTTTTCTTCTGATATCTTTTCTTCTCAGTTTCCATTCTAATATTGCCGTATCATCAGTAATATAAAATCCTTCAAGGCGTAATATGAATTTTCTAATAATTAATCATACAAATTTGTACACACTTGTTGTGCTATGTGTACAACTAGTTTAATTGAATAAATATAATAAATCAATTTGCTTATTTCAATTTCAAAAGTACTTTTCAAAGATACTACTACTATATTATCACATATAGTACTATATTTTACCGCGTGGTAACACTCTGCTTCAAGCTCAAGTTTTCTAATCACGATAAATATCAATGGAATGACTACCTAACAAGTAAGCTATTCACTAAAATATCTCGGTCAAATACAACAAGTAATATTAGTAAATGGTAATTCATTGCACGTTGTCAATCTGATAGTATTTTCTCTCATACCACCCACTGCTGTCGGGTATTTATGTTTTGTGTGTATGTTGGCTTATTTTATATGTGGAGCCAAGTGAACGAAAGAATTTTAGAAGGGTACCAGACAATATCGATAACATATTTAGGGTCCGTGTTTCCTGCAGCGTTTCGAGGATTTATCGTTCAATAATTATCAAGATTCATGCGGCGAAACGCGGACGGACAAAGATATCAATTTTCACATGTTTATTTTCGCACGCCTAAATCTACGCTAGGTTCGTTTGATAACAGACTGCGCCTTTTTACGATGCAGACAACCCATTTACCCACGGTTGCATAAAACGACAAAATTCTTCGACGAGGAAGCTTTATTGAAGAAAGATTAAGAAGAAAGAATACGCATTAATTTCAAAATTGCAGTTAGCTTAAATATCACGACGCAAATCAAGTAATGTTCATTAAATAGATAAAAAAAAAACGTTTTACCGCGAACGCTTTGCCTATTTCTAGGAAGCGTCTTTTTTGGAATTTCTACAGTAAATCACTTCACTGTTAGTCACATTTTTGATCTCAGAGTTGACTGTTATTCAAAACTTGCTGTACTACACTAAAATGAACTGATGAAAATAGTTTTACCTACAACTGTTTAGCTTTAAAAGTCCGTAGCCCTTTCGACTCCACTTTAGCTTTTCACAGAAGACTTTTTTGGCTTTGGGGTGCCATTAAAATCTTTAGTATTCTCCCCTTTTCCAGGGACCAATAACAACAAAATAATTATATTTGGGTTCTACCGGAGAACGCACACATATGAACAATTGATATCTGGCGTTCTGCATAACAAACATTAATAAAAAGTAAATCACGCACAACTGATACGAAGCACTTAACGTAAATAATGTTATCAAATTTGCAATCGTTGTCGAATATTTTTTGCATCCATCATATAAATTGTTCGCTTGATTATAGGTTTTAAGTGGATTAACCTAATTGTCTACCCAAAAGAACGCCAGCTGAGCTTCTGCTCCAATTTAATCTTAATTTAATCCGCGTAGCGTGCCAAATAACGGTTTCTGAAAGGTCTGAAGATACGGGAGCTAACACCCAAAATCATATATAATAACATAGCACCCATATAATAATAATAACACGCATGCATGGTATAATAATATAGGTGCACTTGCATTATTGGATCGCCTATACGTGTAATGCAATGCAGTGTAATTTTGTATGTCGTTGTAAGGAAATGTTATAATTTTCTCCAAGAGCATGGAGCCACACAAAATGCCTTAATAGGCTGCGCGCGGCCCACAGTTTGCCCATCTCTGATTTAACCTCTACAAGTTTCCCTACTTCACAAGTATTCTTCTGCACAGCCACGTCTTGTGCGACGAGAGAGTCGATAGTTATTTTTTTCCCCCGTCTGTGCGTCCAGTGTGAAAAATGCGAAATTATCTTATCATTGCAATGAGATGCTAATGATAATTATAGAAGTGAATCCGCAACTAAAATGTTCCAGTTATTTGAAAATTAAAACAAAAAAAATCGAATTTAGTTCGATCGACTTCAAACAAAGAGAGCTTTTGAAGAAATAATTTTAATGCGAGGTTTCATCCATTGGTAATTCACAATAGTTCAACACAGTCCAGTCGCAACTGACGCATATTATGCTTCTACCCTTTTGGAGTCTATCTTTTTAGTTGAAACAGTCAATTGTGTGCGCGACCTACCTTTCTATTCATTCTTAGATCACTCTCAGGCATAACTAGATATAATCGGACAGTTACAACACCGCAAATTGCTGTGGTTTTCATAGTAATAATATATACTTATATTTGTCGTTAAGTCGACGCAACTGCAAGTTATGTTATACACAATTAAACCACTATAGCAGGACATTTTGAATGCTCGTTCGTAACGGTCCAGGACTGAATATTTTGCGCAACAGAAAAATCATTATCAGCTGAAAAAGCTGCGCCTCTGGGTACAGCAGTAGTGGGATTCAGCCGGTTCTATAGAACCGTCTCACGGAATTTTATGAGATCAGCGAACCGGTTGGCATTACTGAAAAAACATGTCTTTTTATATGTTAACAGAACCGTCTGAAAAATATGATATTTGTGTGATGGAACCGGCTGACAAAAAATTTGAATCCCGCCACTGGGTACAATGATTACCTAACGCGACCGTTCCGTAGCTAAATGTTCGAAAACGGTAAGATTCGTGTCTTTGCGTCCGAAGTAAAGGACCTTAATTACCTATTTTACGAGAAAGATTTGTTTCAACCCACCAATAAAAAGTTCACTACAAGTTTGCTTTCATTGCTACTACATCCGTTCAAGTATTTTTATGTATTGAGGGAGCCTTGTTACAGCACAGCTAGCAGCTTGGATAAAATCGTTAAATATTTTTATGTTTACCTTTCCTAGCGTCATAAAATGTTTGTGTGCTATATTCATACCGGTCATCTATTAACGCGTGGGATCCGCAAATATGTTTCGGAGAATATTTACTTTTTGCTGCGAAAAATAGAAACTCGGCACTATTTATATAACCGAACTGGACCTTCCGCTGTGACGTCTTGAGTTCAGCAACCCGAACAGCCAGCTGTTACTAACCCGCCTACAGTATGAATTGCTTGGACACCAGTGTAGCGTTAAGACTAAAAATAATATATGAATACTAAAACAACCAGCGAGCGTGACCTATTTGGATTAAATTCTAATTTTTGAGGCTGAAAAATCGTTTTCAAAAACTGAATGAACCGGTACTGCCGAGATTTTCAATGAAGGCAGTCGGATTTTCTTGGCGCGATCAATTTCGTTACACTAATATCTTGCGAGCGTGAGCGACAATGATCAAAACTTTTCAATTCTATATCTATTCGCCTCGGGTGTACGTATTTGAAAATCCACTAGAAGCAATATAATTATTATAAGGCATACGCATTGGGTTCCAGGATACAGACCGACTGAGTTCTCCCATTGCAACCATATCTTCGAATATTACCCTATACCACGGGTCGATAACCTTAAGCACTGAAAGAGCCATTCGGCGTTATTTCCATCCGGTAAAAACCTACTCGGAGCCACAACACCTACTCTAATGTCAGTGGCAACTAAAACTCCCTGAAAACCGCTTATGATGCAATAATCTAGTTCTTACAAGGAAGTCAAATGAAATACGAATGATGCAATAATTCAGTCCATGCCGAAATGAAAACCCGAAAAAAGGAAAATTGAATCACTTTGATGCGACCTATTTTTATTGCTCGCGACTTACACTTTGGGAACCGCGGTGATTAGGGACGATTTCGCCTTATGCCTCCTCACTCATTGAATCCTCACTGCTTTTAAAAAACTGAATTAACCGAGCTCAGAGAAAGGGCCGCAGGTTGTCGATCGCTGATCTGTACCAATGACTCGATCAAAAACGACCATTCGATTTTTTGGGGTCAAGGAATTTACTCCCGACAGCTTACATCTTGAATGTACAAAAAGCAATCTCACGAAGACGAAAAACTTGAAGTGACCACAGAACATCAAATTAATATACTGCATTTTAATTTCGAAAAAATTAGAAATAAAAAAATACCATGATCACAATGATTTAAATAAAATGAAAAAAAAAACGCATCACACCACACCGAGTATCGCAACACGATTTCGTTTCAAATAATCACAGGGCGATAATATATCTATCTACACGTAGTACTTTGTTGTTGGTAAGCCTGAACTATTTAAACCAAAGGAAAGCGATCTTGCTATGAGCGAACTTGTAATAAAGATTATTTGCTGTTTAATTAAAATTCAATTATTTTAAAGATGTCAAATATTTGATTTATTTTCGAACTCTTGACTATGTAACGTAGGAAGACTTCAAAATTCAAATGCAATGAATTCGGGCACCCTGTTAATAAAGAGTGGTACTTCTGATATTCGCGCAGGTCTCATACAAAAAAGTTCATGTGATCATGTTAACCAATATAAAAACAATTGGTCAAAATATGAAATTAGCATGCATATGACCATACTTCATAGAAATGCAAAAATTTAAATATAGCAAATGACAATAAATGTCTATTATTAAACAGGTACAAAATCAAAATTTCTTGGTTTTATCTTCCTGCCCTTTGGCAAATAGCAGATGATGATTCAAGTCGTAAAACTCATGACAATGAAATCAACAGACCAGAAAAACAGAGCTATAGAGAAATTCATAGAAAATTTACGTCAAAAACCACAAACCGTATATGTTTACAAATTGAAAAATAAACAATTTTTAACCACTTGTTCCAGTTATTTGAGAATCATTGCAAAGAGGAATAAATTTTGTTCATTTAACTCAACACAAAGTCAATTTTTGAACAAAAAATTCATGAGATTTTATCCATTGGCATTTCACGATAGTTCACCACGGACGAATCGCAACATATAATTTCAGTTACGCCAAATAATAATATTTGCGTCATTTCAATGGTATTTATAGCCAATGACTACATCTGTGGGATACATTCGTCAAATCCAGAGAACAACAGTAATAAAATTGAAGGTATCCATGGATATGGTAATATCGAAATAAGGGGGTTAGGTTTACCGTAAGTAAAATTTTTTTTTTTTAAAAATATTGCCACAAAATACATAGTTAAACAAAGTTGTGACAGAAAATGGGTTTCGTACGCGGTATCCGGAAGAGTTCCAACAATGTGATAATATATTACGCAAAACTCTGCAATCCCAGAAGTTAAAATACATATTTCCACAATATTACCTATGTAACAGGAACAACAAAATGAATCTTATGAAAATAGCAGGTGTGTTTATAGGAGCGCTTATGAAACTATGTCAAATATTCCACACATGGGAGAACCCGACCCTATGTTTACAAAAGAAAATTCAGTGGACCTTATTACAAGGGCTCATTCAAATTTCCTATGGTGGTTCGTACATGAAAATAAAACACAAAACAGGTTTAGTTGGCGAATAAATATTTAACAAATACACATAAATTTTCATTCATAGTACATTGTTTTACAAATTGTTTTATCAGTGGCATTTTCACACGAATGTCAGGAACTTACAAAACTACAGTAAATAACTATATACGATCATATATTGCATAAATGTATATCAGATTCAATATAGCAACTCCATATCCTAGAATTCTGTATCATCTTAAATTTTGGTTTTAAAATATATAAATAGG